AATTCTTGTCTCTCTTAGCCAAAGCCTTATCTTGTATGTCTCGCTTCACCCTCTTCATTTTCTTAAGATAGTCTATCACCTCATTGAAGATCCTCCCTACAGAAGTCATATGTTCTTATAATACTTGCAATTTGGAATTTAGTCCCTGAATAAATAAGTGGATCATCTCCTCCCCTTTGGTCACCAATTGAGTAGCATATCTAGATAAAGCATGGAACTTGGCGTCACACGCAATCATAGACTTACCACATTGCTCCAAGGCCATAAAATTATCTTTCTTGTGATCCCTCACTGTTCTAGGCATATATTTCTCCAAGAGCAAAGAATGAAATTGGGTCCAAGTAGGTGGAGGTAAAGTAGAATATCTAAAATTCATAGAAGCTCTCCGCCATTGCTTGGCCTTACCTTAAAGTTGTAAGACACGAACTCAACCCATGTTGGTGAACTATACCCAATAAATGCATACTCTCATTGAAATCCAAAATGAACTCATACGTATCCTCACTCTTAGAACCAAGAAATACTAGAGTCTTAAGCTTCGAAAACTTAGTCAACATGTCATGCTTATTGCCAGTCATAACAGAACCCAACAAAGGATATTAGAAAGCATCATTACCTAACGTTCCACTCACCCTAGGAGTAGTGCTAGTAGTAGGAGGATTGTTGAGAGCTTGAGTTGCTTGAACATAGTGAAGCATCCCAAGACCAACCAAACCTTTCAAATGACATGATTTTTTATGCTAACATTGGATCCAAGGTAAGAACAATAATAGTCTCCGCTGGCACCTCTTTCTCTTGTCCAAGTTCATCAACATCTCCATCCTCAATATCCTCTTCTATCTCCTCATTATGCGCAGGAGGGTTCTCATTCACATGAGCATTTTCAATCGATATCTCATTTTCAGTAGGCATACTCTTCCACTACCTCTACCGTAGCTCCTCCTCTACCTCTGCCTCGACCTCAACCTCTCGGTGCAGGTTCTTTAGTTGGGGCATTGATGGTAGCGTGAGATGACCACTGTTGGATCTAATGTTAACCATCTTAGGACAGAAGAGTGAGGAAGCATAGATACCAATTTGAATCGTTAGATACCAATTGGAATTAAGTTATAGCACGAAAGGATACAAGAGAAAATAGAGATATTTCCTAGATTCTTATAACCTCTCGAAGAAAAGTTAAGGCGTCCTCGTACTGTTCCACGAGACTCTACTAGAATCATTTTGGTACATCGAGATCAACAAACCTAGGCTTTGATATCAAATTTTTCATGATCCATACCATCATGATTGGCACCACACTAACTCTCCGGTGGAAAAATCACTACTATAACACAAACCGAACAATTAAACCAAAAATTAAGGCATTTAAGTTACCTAAAGCAAGTTAAATACTAAGGAAATAAATAAAGTTCCAACTAAACTCTAACAAAAGTCTATAACTAAAATAAATGCGGACGAATTAACCTAGAACTTGAAAGTCAATGTACAAAAACTATTGACGATAACCAAGTCTAAAACAAGATGAGTAACAACTCCAACTAACATAGAAACGTCTAAAGAACTATTCTAAGTCTGAAATGTAGATATAGACCCCAAGAGGATCCAAAAGTACCCCAAAAGATGCTTGCTCACCCTTGAATTTGAAAGCAACACTTCACAAATCTTTGAAGTGAGTTCTGTCCATGGCCATCGGAAGATGTCCTGTACTCAACAAAAATTAGGGTAAGTGCAGTATTAATACACAACTACTTTATACTGGTAGGTTCACGCGGCTATCCCACTAAGTGCAACATAAGCAAGTCAAACGACATTATAATCATATAAATATATATCAACATATATGATATTATTAACATTTACGAATAACAATTAAGTTCACATTTCTCAAATTACACAATTATGTCAAGTAGTTGGTCCTCTCATGGAACTCAAACCCAAATTGTTAGTGCACCAGAACGTAGTACCCTATCCCATAGTTATGCCGAAATGTGTCAATCTGATCCCATTTTTATACCGAAACGTGGCAATTTGATTCCAATTAGTTATGTCGAAATGTACATAATTTGATCCATCAACACACCACAATCACAAACACAAGTATACTTTCAATCCATACAATGAAGAGTGATTATGACATATAATCATTTATAATAAGTGTGATCAACAATGCATCATTCATATACATACAAGTAACGTAACGAAGCACGAACACACATACATTACACACTCATAGAATCACAACCCTCGCCTACCTAACAACAATCTTGAAATCCTAAGAATCTTGATCCTTCCCTTTTCGATTCATTCAGCTTGTTCTTGATCTACAAAAAATCATCATAAAATGGGAATCAACAAACAATCATTAATTACCCAAAACTATAACAATTCTATGAATCCTAGATCAAATCCATGATCCCAATTATCTAATTTAGGGTTGTTTTCACCATCAAATCAATATCAAAACCCTTCCTTATCGTTATTAACCTATCCTATTACGTTCTACGAATCAAAAAAAGGATTCGGGGAGAAAAAACTAAAACTTAATTTTAGCCTCAAGAATGGTGAAAATGAGTAGGATTTGTCTAGTCTTGTTATTTATCTCTAAAAATAAAAAAAATGTCAAATAAGGTCGTTTAGGGGTTTATTAACAACATTAAGTCGTGTCTGGACAGCCACAACGGCAACATCCTGCTGTAGTATCTCCGCCGGAGCAGCAGAACTCCTCGCTAGGGCGGGATTATCGAACCAGTGAGCTATTTCAAGAATTCTGAAATCCTCATTTCACAACACACCTCTAACCCACGACGCAAGATACCCTTTACGCTAAGATCGATTACGAGAGTTCTACTCACCCAAATTGAATTTCATAAAGTCGTATGAATTCTTTAATGAGTTATCTATCTACACGTAAATCAAAATCATAAATCATTCACCTAATTTCCACCATATTTTCATGCACCTTTAATGACTCTCATTTTATCCGAATTTGGACTAGGCTGGGAATTTTGAAGTTACTACCAAAGAATTTTTCGACCCCAAATTTTTTTCGTTGGATTTTCTATTACGACGGAACTCATTCGTTACAATAAATCTTATAAGTATGATTTTTTTTCTTTCTTCTACTTTATTAATTTCTCGAATTGTTCATGTAGTCATGATTTTCATTTTATTTAGATTTTAGGTGCAGTGATTAAGTTAGCTTTGAATATTTCAATATTTGAATTCTATTTATTTATTTTCTTTATTAATTGTGTCTAGCCTATTAATTTTACTAATTTCCCCTTCGAAGTATAATCAACACTCAAAAATATTTGTGGAGGATTCAAGATTTGGTTTGGCATAGCACAAGTGTCATGGATAGGGGTAAGAAACTTTTATCATTTCATAATATATGATTGTGATAATTACTCATGAGTTTAAAACTTATTTGTGAATTAGTTAATGATTTAATGGTTGCTACTGAAAGATTAAATATTAATTTCTTCTTCGAGGAATTCAAATATCCCTTCTCAGGATTTGATGGATTCAGCAAGGTATAGCAAAGAGTATATTGTTGGTGTTGAATCAATCCTAGATTTTGCTTACTCTTATGGAGATCATTAAGGAGAGGAAATTCAGTGTCAATGTGCAAAATGTTTTAATATTCGTTGGACTTGAAGGAATATAGTGTATGATCATCTAATATGCTATGGATTTGTTAACTATTATACTAGATGGATCTATCACATGGAATGAGATACCAAGTTGAATGTTGACGATGATATGGATTACTCGCATGATGATATTGATGGGTTGCTGAATGATCAATTTAGAAATGTTGCACACGCTGAAGGAGTTTATTATAGTCCAAATGAAGATGCCAAGAAATTCTACAACCTAGTTGAAGAGGCAAGCCAAGAATTATATATTGGTTATACATTATTCTCTAAATTATCATTCACAATTCGCTTATATTTATTAAAGTGTCTATATGGATGAAACAATGAATCATTCACTTGTCTTTTTAGAGTTTTTAAAAGAGGAGATGCCCCAGTTGAACATGTCTCCGTCTTACAATAAAACCAAGTCTATTGTTAAGAATCTCGGTCTTGATTATGAGAAATTGTTGCATGTCCAAATGCATGTTGTTCAGGAATGATCATAAGGATGATGAATTTTTTTCATACTTGTGGAGCTTCACGATATATTAAATTTATTGAAGTTGATAGTGAGCTTGAGCATTAAAAAACCATCGAGTTTCAACAAAGACTTTGAGACACTTTCCATTAATTTCTAGACTTAAAAAGTTATTTATGTGCTCTAAGATGGTAGATTCTTTAAAGTGGTGTTAAGTCGTATTTTAACTATCTTTAGAAAAATCACTTTTTGAAATGTTCTAAGTATAAAACAATTTGAGAAAAGTGCTTAGAAAAGAGTCGCCAGTTAATTTTTTAATAAATGAACAAAATTTAATTTAAAGATTTTAACAAATTAAATTTTTATAAATATAGCGGAAATGGTAAAAGATTCTTATTTACGCTTCAAGAAGATTTTTAAGAAATTTGAAGCGTTCGCTAACATGCGGTTATCTTACGACTTTGTTGTATATATTTTGACTGCTTTTTAGGATAATATTTATAAAGTTAATTTACAATAAACTTGAAAGAATAGTTACGCAAGAATAAATTTTTTTCACTTCTAAGAAAAGGAGATCTTAATTGAAATATATAAATTAAAGAAACTATTACAATTTAAACAAAAAAAAAGATCAATTAAAATTTATTTAATTCATTCTTAAATAATAATTAAACCAATTTGAGTAACTAAAGCATGAAAATCGTTTTAAATTAAAGGAAGGATAAAAGATTTTGCCTAAATATAATCAATACAAATAGAAGAGTTGATAAAAAAAATTAACTAACGTAAAGAATATAGTTTGTCTTTTGGGGGATTATTTAATTCTAAAGTTAGAGTTAATAAAAATTAGTCAATCATAACAAACAATTAGAAGAGTAAAGAGAGAATGAAAATGGGCCCCTTCTTGGGCCAATTTCACTGCAATTTTTTTAATCTTTAACCAAATTTTCATTTTTGTATACATCGAATGTATATCAATGTATATCAGCTTTTTCCATGTATCCTACTCTCGGACACATGTATTTTTCTCAACTCTGTATTTTTGCATTTTTGGCCACATATTTGATGTATAACGAATGTATTTAGTGTATATTTAATATTCAGACACCTGCAATCTGGATTTCCAATCCTGTATTTATGTTCTATTGCTTTGCCTGACTCAATAAAGTTGGTTCTTTGCCCCAACGATGAGCTGCAAGGATAGGAAATGACAGTCAAAAATTGACTCTAGGCAAGTTTCACATGCAAATAAAGAGTGACAACAATTAGCATCTGAAATAATAAGAGTGACAGTGTAGCAAAGACAAATTATCACAACAGCTTCTACACTAATACACAGTAACTAACTTGATTGAATCTAACAACATGGATTTAGGTAAAGGAGTACAAATTCTAAAGATGCTAAAATCCAAGTCATGCTAATCATAAAATAATGACCAATTAAGCTAATGTTTTTTAAAAAAATCCACAACAACTAAGAAAAGTCAGCAGCAAACCTATGAATTAATGGAATAAAACTAAGCCTCCTTTCTTAAACATAATCAAGCCATTAAAGAAAATTAACGAAGTATGACAGATTTTACATAGTTTCCGGACATGAATAGGAATGGAATCTTAACATTCAGAGACTATTTTTTGGAACTATCTTAACACAAGGTTTACATGAAGAACATTTTAAGGCCGATTTGTAAAAAAACACGACAAGAAACAACATAAGTTAAAAGTATAAATATAATTGACATTATTGAAAATGTTAGGTATGAGAGAAAAGAGACACGACAAAATATTATTTTTTCTTGGTCGAATTTAGACACTTTAACTAAGAATGTAAGAATTCTATCTATCATGAAAAATAAAAGTATTCTTATGATAATATTGAAGTTGGGTATGGAAAAATAATGTTAGGGTACTTATGATAAACTACTACATCTTACAAAGTCAGTCAACTTATTTGATTATTTTTTCACTAAAATTTATTAATATGAATTTTATTTAAATCAAAATTTGAAAAAATAAAAGAATAATTATTTAAACTATTTTAATGACTTGACCAACTAAAAGTATAGCATTCATTTATAGTTACTCGGTAATGTTATTATTACATCAACTAATAATAATAATAATAATAATAATAATAATAATAATAATAATAATTATCCTAAATTAGACAGTAGGGTTCTTTATCAATTAACACTATTCAGCTAAAACTCCAAATTATTACTTTACTTTACTACTATAGAGAAAGGCCCAATTAGACCAAGGATCAGATAGGCAACTGAGTTTCAGTTTCAAAAGGGAGAAAATATCACTAGAACGAGGTTCAGGGAACATATCCGCACTTCGCGCGAGGATTAATTAATATGTGGTAGGAAGTTATTTCTTGTGGATGTATTATATGATTATATTATTTGAGCATATCATTTTGTTTTCATTTGAAATTATCATACATGATGAAACTTATGAACTTTAGTATCTATTTAATGAGAATAATACATTGTTAATGAATAAATTTAGAATATATACTTTGTTAAAAAGTTTTTTTTATTGCTAAAATATATATCGATTTACATCAAATACGGCATATCATTATTTATTAGATGATGGTTAGAGAATATATTTTCTGATCATAATTTATATTGATTGTTTGGGGGCGATCCTTATTTGTCTTATTCATTGTAGTATTTCTGTATAAGTTTCACGAATGGAAAGAAGGTTAATGTTGAACGATGATGTTTTTAACCTTAGAAACTAAAATAAATAAATAAAAAAACACTCGTTTTTGCGAAGGTGAGTACTCTAACTTCTGAGACAGATTAACTTTTAAGAATCACTGAACATATCATGCTTAGTTGCACTCATCATGTCGAGCTCCAACATAGAGAACCCATATAAGTAATAACGCATAAAATATAACACAACTCCTCTCATTTCCATCTTGTTAAGCATGAATAGGTCTTTGCAATACTCAATGCAGTTCACTTAATAAGATTCCTTGTTGCCTTTCCTATCCGACTGCCTGATTTTTTTTTAATAATCTGCAATATGTTGTTATCTTCTTCAACAACATAAACCCAAAATTGATTGTAACAACAACTACTTATATGTGTTTAGTCTTAGTCTTAAGGCAACTTATGGAAGACCTACTTGAAACTATTCTTCAAATGCAACTGGCGGAAGGAAATTACAAGTAACTAAGTTATTTTGTTCGGAAGTTATCTCGTGGATGGGGTGGATACCATCATTTGACAGGTGTATAAATACCTAAAGAATCTCCTCTTCAACAACACAAATCCAAAAGTGAATGTGACATCAAATACCTCTATGTGTTAAGTTTTATAGTTAAAGACAACTTATGAAAGACAATTTTAAGAAACTAAGTCATCCATGGTTAAATATCCACTTAAATTACAACTTACTGATAAATAATATGCAGCTCTATATAATCTCATGTATTTAACACTTCCCATTCTAATTTAATGAAAAACTACCAGCCGGGAAGAATTAACTCATCTATATTTTTATTTCTGAAGTTATCTTCTTTATTTGCTCACGATATGGAGGTACCCTTCACTGAAATTTTCATATATAGCTTGCAGGCCTCTTTTGTGGGCTAATTAAGCTTGCTTATATGTCATAGTTATCCCATACTCTATTTTAATTTTGCAATTAGAAGTGGCTGTAAAATGAATAGTAGGAAAGAGTACACTCTGTACGTACGGCTAGATAGCAAGCACCAAAGAAATGAATTGTGCAACATGGGAATTGATATAGGGATATATAATTGAAGAAGAAACAGATTCGATTTTGTTGACAGTGACATCATATGCAAACAATGAAATAGATTAATAATATAAGTTGTCTAAGGTTGGATAAAACCATACAAGTAAGAAAATATCACTACGGACATCATGGAGCTACTTATTAAACTAAACTTAAAATGGTAAAAGGACGAAATAACTTAACTAAGCTCAAATGTGGCTAGCTATTATACTAAAGTGTAAATTATAAAAGGACGAAACAACTAAACTTAGCTCAAAAAACAGAAAACAATCAGAAGCAACAATTATCCCTCTACATCTTTAACTTATTTGTGTGATGAACACTTATTCCTAGTCATTTATGACCAACAATAATCCCTTTACTTCTTGACCTTATTTGTGTCTTGAATGCTTAATTCCTCATCATCTATGATTAGGTTTCTTCGTTTTCTACTCTTAGCACCATTAATTACATGTACTTCATCCTCATAATCTTCCAAGTCAGTCAACAACACATCAACAGATACCTGATTGTTCTTCAAAAAGTAAATTTATCAACATATTTATTAACCATGTTAATCCTTAAAATGATTTGAATTTTAACATTAAATGTAATTACCATCTGTTTGGTCAATCTGTTGGTTCCCTATATACACCTCAATGTCAAAGTATTCAGGGTCATTATTTTTAAAATAGTTGTTAGGAACGCGCGATGCGCAAACATGTTGAGAGACTAAATTAAGATTACAATCATATAATCCCTAAATCATTCGTTCTTTAAACCCCAAAACTGAAATCTATTAAATTAAGAAGACCCACCAGAGAACTCACACAAAAGTAAGTGGTAATGTAGAAACACTGATAGGAAACAAGATGTTAGAATATGTACATCAAACCTACTAAAAATGGTGAGCAACACAGATCATACCTCAACAGGCCATCCATCCACCACAAATACATCTAATGAGTACCCATCAATTGTTGAGAAAACATGAGCTTCTCGGATATTAAGCCCTATGTCAGAAAGTAAAGCAGAGAGCTAGAATAGGAAGCAGTTAGTTATAGAACATGACATCACATTAATCAAGGAAAAAGAATTATAGCCAAAGCCAAATGAATACAATTCCAAGGAAAAGAATTATAACCATCGATCTCAACATAACATTATCCAAAACCGCCAGGATATAGGCATTCAAAGAAGACTTTTAGCATGAAGATCATGTTCTCAACATAACATAATTTGATTCTTCAAATTTACAAAGTGAATAAAGACAATCAGTGTCGGTAGAAACTACAAGAATAAGAAAAAAAATCTCAAAAAACTACAAAGAGAAGCAAAAAGAAAATAAACAAATTATTTTTTTTATTTGGTTTGCCCTTACCTATACTTCGAAAACCACAAGCTATTTTTAGGCTTTTAGCGTCATTGATCCAGTATTAAGTTATTAGCCCAAACCACATTTGAACAAAAAACAAAAATCAAATCTGTTATGGCTTTTCAGTAGGTGCAACATTTATTAGAACAACGTTATTATTATTATTTGATACTCCTCAAAATAATTTGATTTGTAATTTTACAACTATCTAGAATATAACTTTTGGAAGAGGGTGAATGTTTGTTGAGAATACTATTCCACAGAATCTTATTAGATTTAGGAAGAGATTAGTAATGGAAGAAATTTTGTAGTCTCTTTCGATTTAAATAAGCTGCCCTGGAAGCAAAACAGACTTGTGACTTGTCTTTATAGGAGCACTCTTGGTATATATATATATGTGTGTTGAATCAGTGACGAATCCAAAATTTAGAGTAGCAGGTTCTGTTCTTAATCCGTTAATCGTATCTGTGTTATTCCTCCCCAGACATATTAATAATCAGAGCTAGACGCATACAGCAGATTCTGAATCAGTTGTTGGGATTGAAGTTAACACAGTATGATATGCTTTGTACATTTTTTGTTTATTAGGACTTACATACATCTTGTAAATTACTAATTTCCTAGAGTACTTTGTTGTACTAAATTTCATAGAATAGTTTTTTGTTCAGAGTACAATACAGTAAGAGATGGTTTAATGAGGGAATAAATATTAGGTTCATCACTATCTTTCGTGTATATATACGTGTATGAATGGACGTTATGATAACTTGGTTATGAAGATAGCAAGACAATGTTCTAACTTAATTTGCAGCTTCTTGAGCGTGAGAATTCATGATTCTCAACTCACTTCATAGACTATTGTTATTATGCATTGTGTGTGTCTGATATATTATTATTATCTCCCTCTATTATTAGTATTATTATGTCTCGCCACTCTTTTCTTTATTAACTAGAAAAATACAAACATGCTCAGAATAGGCCAAACTTCTTAAGGCCAGAAACTCTCAGACAGAGATGTGGACAACTTTAAAAGTTAAGAATACAAAGTACTGCATAGTAAAAAAAAACCCATCTACTTTTTTTAAAAAAATGAATGCATTTTGGAAGTTATCTATCTCAAACTATATAATTCATATAACCAAGAATTGTAAAGATGAAATAAAATTAATCGATTAGTAGTCTAAACGAAAAATTGTTGTTATTTGACTTACTTATGCTAAGAATATTTGGCCGATTCACACAAATTCACTCTTTGAATTACTTTTTGAGTTACTTTTTGGGTTGAGTTATTTATCTTCACACTATATTGTATGATGTTTGAGTTAGATCCATCCCAATTATTTGTTCATTAATGTTGGCCCCGTATTATACTGTCCAAGCTCAAGTTAATGACTCCAAAAAAGTGTTTAGAAATTTTTGGAATGCAACTCGGCAATACTTTACCACTACAATAAATATGTCAATGCAGATGACGTTTTAATTTGAAATGGTCTTTGACTAAATACATTGCTTTAATTTACAGATAGAATTAAAGATGAAACACAGACACTCCATGTCAAAAAATTCAGAAAAATAAATGAAAACATATAGAAAAACTCTGCTTTAACATTTTTAGGCCACAAAGGTGAAGTGATATCAATGATTATATACCTTCAGCATCAAGCAATACGCCACAATTGGGTTATACATTGAAGAAAATAGAAATCCAACTAAGAGTTCACACACTTGCAATATATATTTATGAAAAGTTTAGACAAATACATCAGAAAATATTCAGATAAAATACCTGAACTTCCAATTCTTCATGCAAATAAGCCAACGTCACAATATTCAAGTTTGTCAAGATTTGGGTGATCTACCACTCCCAGAAATTGCACTTCTGCTACCCATTGTTTAGGACCCTACATAACAATTAGAGGATCAACATAAAACTACAGTTTTCAGTAAGATAAAAAAAATTAAGTAATTTAGCTTCCAAAATAGAAGAGTACAGATTTAAGTTCGCAAAATCTAGAAAAGCAAGTCACATCAACCATAACTTGTTGCCAAGTAATGCCGAAATCCACAACTTCCAACGAATGGAAGAAAGTACAAAGATTGCCAATGTTTTCATGATGCTCGTTACACTTTACGGACATTTATTTTCTATTTAACAAATTTTTACTTGAAATGGGAGCTTCTCATATATTCAAATCAAGTTTGTACAAACTGCTAGCCATACTGAAATGATCCACATTTGAGCGGCAATTAAATGATCAAGCGGAAACTAACATAGCAAAAAGTGAGTTGGAAATAGTATTTACAGCAAAGTGCAATGAGCAAACATACATGCAAATGGAACAAAAAAGGTGTGTGTGTCAAAGATATTGGAATATAGCTTGAACCATGTTTTATCAGTCCAAAGCAATGTCTCCCCTGCAATTTTATCACACTTGTTCATTCGTATAGTCCAAAGAAATGCAGCCACAGTCATTTAGATTAGCTCCAATATCATTTTTCTCTTTTCCTTCTTACCAGATTGAAGAACTCTTATTTTAATAGCCCTATTTTAAAATCAAACACAGACGCATCCAAATCTTATATACACCTCAATGTCAAAGTATTCAGGGTCAATTACGCACCTTCTTATGTATGTTAAAGATCAATTAGATGGTTGAAATATGTAAGCAAAATAATTTCAAATGAATTCCAATTTAGTAGCACCTAAGATTAACTATCATAAAAGTATCTAACTATTATTTTGTAAGAAGATGACATAATCAAACTAATTAAAATAAGATGAGTGACTTACTAATTTGTAACAATGTAGACTTTCCCTTTTTCCCGGTTCGCACAAGCTTTCCATATCACCGATTCCATATAAACAACCAACCACATCTACAGATAAGGAAGACGTTTTGCTAAAAATGAGGTAGTCATTTAAAATTTTTAGTCAAACACACTGTATATAAATATCGACTTGATAAAACACTATTATTTTATATATATAAGAAGAATTAGGATATGAAAGGCCACAAAAATCAATTAAGATTAATACAAATTAAAAACATGACAATTACAAATCATGAAGATCAAAATAGAAACCTAACATCAAAACATAATACATACCTTATGAAACTTATGAAGTTGGGAAGGAGAAGATTGGCTACTTACTTATGAAGTTGGGAGGGAGAAGATTACCATTGGTGTTGTATTTAGCTGAAAATAACGACCCAAATTCTTGAAATTGCTCACCAATGAGTACAGAAAAGAATGAGCCCATCTCCATTTCTAGCTCATACTCAACTCCAAGAATTAGCAAGAAGGTTTTAATATGGAGATAGATTTAGGAAGATTAAGAGACGATTTGAAAACGGAACGAACCATATGGATTATTAAAATTAGTGTTGGTAATCAAACCTTTTGAGGAGGATGAAAACATAAAAGGAGGATTTGCCTGCTTTCTTAAACTATGCCCAAGGATGATATTGTTGCCGTTTGCCTTCTGTAATGTATTAAATTGGATAATTAAGAAGATGTTAGTGGGGGCTAATTAATTAATTATTGCTATTTAGTGTGATATTTTAAATGAAGGGTTACTTTTATTTTGGATAAAACACAGATTTTTATTTAATTAAAAATATAAAATAAGAATTTTCAAATGGTGGCCATTGGGGGCTGCCACATCAGCGGTTTTGGATTCACATTTATATATATATATATATATATATATATATATATATATATAGAGAGAGAGAGAGAGAGAGAGAGAGAGATTAGAAGAAGGCTATTTCAACATGTCTGTGTCATCACATTTAAGGTTATTTTTGTCATTTCAATATTCAAATATAGCTAGGTGTCTTGCTTTTGTGTCTTGTCCTTTCAATGCTTTATTATAGATTAGGTGTCTTGTGCAGAGATATTGTCAATGACACATCATTAGCTTCATCTTTCAACTTTCTTCCTTTATTGCTTTTTACTTGATTGATGAAAATCTCTTCTATGTTTTTCCCATTCATCCCAGGTAAGGCTCCTTCAAATTTTTTCTTTGATTTCTCTAATGTTTTATTTTTCCCTAAACTTTGATGGTTGTTTTTTCCTTCTTCTTGCTGTAATCGTTATTCTCTATTTGTTCCCTCTTCTTCGCCACTCCTCCGGCGACGAAAACCAGCTGCTCCGACTACAACTCTGGCGAATTATCCCACAACGGTCAACGCTCACCCGAAGTCCGTTCTACGGTGTGCTTCAACTTCATTTGATGAATCTCAGAATAACGAGGAAGCTTAAGCTGAGTCATTATCGATTTTACCCTCCGATATCAGGGACAAAAATGACATTTCCATGTCGGAAAACTTCTGCGATTTACCACCGTTCGAGAGTTTCTTCCCCAATGATTTGTTTCAGTTCGAGAACCTTGTTACCATATCCGACTTGTTTTTTGAACCGGATACTTTACCCGACTGCAATAACATGTTATTCGGATCAAGTACTACTGATTATGGTTTTGGATCTTCATCCTGGCCCGTAGAGGACTTCTTTCAGGATTTCGGAGATGTATTCGGGTCTAACCCGCTTGTGCCTCTTTGATTTCATCAGCAGATTAATCGGCGATAAGTATAAATGGTTTAATATTCATAATTTTAAAATTTAATTTTGTGTTCAGTTACCAGTTTTGTTTAAATTTTTTAATTAATGTGAGTGATTAGTGAGTAATTAGTAATTAGTAGTATTAATATGTCAGCTCCGTCACATTAACGGTGATGCTGATGGATGAGATTTTGCGGTACAGTGTTGTTTTGGTGTTTTGTGCTTCGTTAATAACAATAAACGACTTTAGCAATTATTAATTATTCACTAATTATTATTTTAATTGCTAATTAATTATTGATTTTTTTTAATTGTGAAGGGGTGGGGTGGGGTCTGATAAAGGCACGTGTACGGACACATGACTTTAGTAGCAAAAGAATTAGGTGAAAGAATGAAATGGCATAAATGCTAACCTGCATTCACACATGTTTAGCCTTGACACATTCTCATCCTTCAAATTTTATAATTCGTTTTGTTAGATATTCCATATGTGTATTCAACATTTGAATTTAACAAGATACATAATATGTAAATCGAATACATTAAAAACTAATTCCAATACATTAAAAATTAACTCAAATATATTATAAAATAAATCAAAAATAAATATATAATATAATATAATATTATTTTTATATAATATAATATAATAATACTTTTATAAAACAATAGGATACAATACAATTATCACCTAATTTCAAACAACCATTCAAACATAATGTAAAGGGTAAGGGTAAACACAGGCACAAAGAACAAAAATAATGCTGTCCAAAAAGCCAACAAAAAATAAAAATTTGATACTGAATGACACGTATAGACCTTATATTGACTATACTCTTTGCAAAAACACAAAAAAAGACACGTATACACACGTATAATGCCACATGTCTACTAATCATATCATAACTCTTCCTATATATATCTCTTATTTGAAATACCAAATGGTTATGACGAGAAAAAGAATCTATGAACTTTTTGATTGGGATGAAAATTCTCTTAGGGTGTTTCTTTCTTGATATTCTTTATGCGATTGCAGAGATATTTTTCTTTTTGTGTTTTAATTATAACTTGCAGATGTACATTAGAGGAGCTTTAGGAGTTTTCGAGGATATCACTAACATTGAAGAGTTCTTTGAAGTTGTTGACTTAGGGTGAACAGACTGTCAAGAAAGGTGCCTGAAGGCTGAAATGATGAAAAGGGTTACGAATAAAAAAAAACTATGGCGTAGTAATTTCTATGTTCTATTAATTATTTTAGAATTGTATCTAGATCTCATGATCCATGATAAAGAGAGAACACTAAGACTTAATATCTAACCTTACCAAGTAAAAGTTTTCACTTGGAATATTATTTTAGAACTGGTAAGAAGAAAAAGTTAATTTAGTAGTGACCAAATCCTCCGAGGCCAGTAAATATGAAGCTTTAGCCAAATTGTCCTCTCGTTTATGTAAGACATCATTTTTCTTCCCCAAAAGATATTTGATGTTATTGTTCAGTTCTAGAAATTTATATAATGCACAAAGCGGATGCTTTTGCTATCTGAAATATATGTAAAATATAATCGATGTCTTTATTGCAATGATATTATACCACTTATAATTCACTAATACAAAAATCTGATTTTTCATATAATGCATTAATTTTTCTGAAATAATAATCCTTTAATGTTGGGCCGTGCTTTGCACGGCCATGCTCTATCTAGTATCTATAGAATTCATTAGTTTTTCTATCGATCATCTAACACTGGGAATGATGTGGATAGCAGCCGTATAAACGAAAATTAACCAATATTTTTCTTTATGTTATAAATTCATTGAATGAGTGGATAGTCCATAAGGTTGGTACATGAACAACCATTTATATTCACTAGGTTATATGAACCTTTTTGGATAAGAATGTATCTATTTATTATGATACTTAATATGGCGACCTTTGGAGTGATTTCTCACTCTATAAATAGGGTTGTTCATTCACTATTGTAATAGATATATATGAGACTTGAATACACTTGAATAAGAAGAAAATTTCTCTTCTTCTATCTACTTCGCTTGTATTCTTCTCTTTATGATTATATTCTTATGAGCTTGATTTTATAACACGTTATCAGCACGAATCTCTAGCCAATTAAGATTGAGTTTTAGTTTTTCTTTAACTCATTTTTTGGTTGATCTCGTTATGATAATCAACGTATTATATGCATAAAATCAGGTATGTATTTTCTAGAATATTTTATGATTTAGAATAAAAATAATATTCAATCATTAACAATTATTAAGAACCAAAGACATATACTACTATTGGTTGAATATAACATGCTATACAAAACTTCTTAAATAGAAGCAGGTATAAAATTTTAATAGCATGAGTTTGAATGTTATTTTGATTGTTTTGAAAGACTGAAAGGGTGTGTCATGTTGTACTTCGGTCTATTATACCGTTGGTTAAGGGTAAGACGATGGATTCAAGTTTCATCGCACCAAAAGGGTAAGACATCTGATTAAAGTCCGGATACACCATAATGAAAAATATTTGAGGATAAGACGATAGATTCAAGTTCTATTGCACCAAAAGGGTAAGACATCAATTTGAGTTTTGATGCACCGTGATTGGGTTCAAGTCCCATAGAATTATGGCGTAAAACGCCTTATATGGATAAGACATTGAGTTTGAGTCAATACGCCATAATGATGATATAATGATGACTAAGGCTTTGATGAAAAATCTTGAAATTCGTCCTATTGAATTTGCTTTATTCCTTTAAAAGAATGTGGTAGCAACATGTAATAACTCTGAAATTCGCCTGTTAACTTGCTGAATGTGGTAGCAGTGAATGTTAGTCTGAAAGATGACAAATGATTAATGATATGAATAAGGGTGTGGAGGGACATAATTATAATAGTCATCATTGTGGTAATGATAAAAGGAAGAACACTATGAGTTCTTCAAATAGTCCTTCAAAATGTGAAGGTAATTTTTATTATCAAAATGGTATGAAAGGTCATTAGACTTATGAATGTTGTCAACCCAATAATTTCACAAATTTATAAATCTTCTATCATGATAGAAGAAGATAAAGTGATGGTACACTTAATCTTTCAAAGTGATGTTAAGGTGTGTCATGGAAATATGATGAATTTTAAAGCCATGACAATGTGCTTATAATGCAAATTTATAAAGTAAATATAAATAATTAGTCCAATCCTTGAATAGAATGTGACTTGTAATGAGTATCGTGAATGCTCGACCATTCTATAAGAGAATGGATCCAGATGTGATAAAATCATTATGGGTTGGATATATGTCACAACTCACCTCTGTAGAAGGTTTGAGAAAAAAAATGATACATGTCACTTCTCATCTGTACAGGAGATTTGAGAGGAAATAAATTTTATTTGGTAGAAATGGCTAATTGTATTGTACGTTTTATACGTCACTATGATATAAACTACCGAAAGGGCAAAAAAAAGAAATAGTTCTTGCTTATAAGGGTTGTGGTCATTATTGTGTGGCAATACAAATTTGTCATTGATTGTGTACCTATGGTACAACAAAAGTAAAGCAAGAAAGATGTCTTGCTCGTAATGATTTTGACCATGACAATAATAATATAATTTCCTCCTTGAAGGAAATGCTCACCATAGGAATGGTGTCATGCAATATGTCATAGTACACAAAATTAATTGCAAGCTCTAACGAGTTGTGCTATTATCAGAGGAATAATATTCGGGTTGTAGTAAGTCTCAAAAGAAACTTTTTAAGTTTCGGATGAATGAAAATAAATATTGAGACTATAAATCACTACAACCGAAGAGGGTTATAATGTTTATGTAAAAGATTACCCCACTTTTCCTCCTGTTTGTTCCATACAAACATGTACATGCTGATGAAATCACATGTAAAAGTAAATTATAAGTGTACTAAAATAAAGATCAGTTGGCATGACTGGTTGACCATTCCGATTAAATGTAATGCAAACGTGATTGAGAATTCAGGTGATTTATATGATGAAGAAATAAAGATTCTTCAAGAATTCTCTTGTGTTGCTTGTTCTCTTGATAAAATGATCATTGTACCAGCTAAGGTCGGGATGTAATCCCCTAAAAATTTTTGGAACATATAAAAGGGTGAATATGGGCATGTTCACCTGTCATGTGGATCATTTGCAACTATATGATTAATGCATCTATGCGATGGTCACATGTATTTTGTTGTCAACTTACAAATTTATTTTTGTAAGGTTGTTTGATCGAATTGTTAAAATTAATAGCATAGTTCCAAATTATGAAATTATATTGATAATGCTGGTTGATTTAGTAGAAATTGTATGCCTCCTATTATAACTAAATCATGGTTATGAGAACAAAACTCCCAAATAAGATTTGGTATGAGATAATTTTGTTTAACATGTAGCAACACATATATGCATCAAACCAACAAGGTTTCCCCATTAAAATTGGTTCAGGGTCAGGAACCGTATAATTGTCATCTAAAATGTTGAATATGCGATTATGATTTTAATTGCTCCACCACGCACAAACATGAACTTCCAAATAAGGTAGGAATGAATGTTAGATTTTCTAACATTAGGGGGAGAGATGATTGACAGCTGAAAATTATGTGTGAGGTTAATTATGAATTATCTAGACCCTCGTTAAAATAAATATGTGAACTTAAAGTTCAAGGGATAATTCAGTTGCATAATGTTGCAAATCAGTTGCCAGATGAATGCACTGACCCTATGATATAATTTAGCTGCAAATGCTCCAATGTGAAGTCCTTGAAGGACAGAGTCTATGATACGCCGGAAGCGTAATAGAACAATCGATTTCAAATATAAAATTCCTTGAAGA